TCTGGGCACGCAGCGAGGGCACCTGGGGCACCGTGTCCCCCCCGAGCTCTGGGCACGCAGCGAGGGCACCTGGGGCACCGTGTCCCCCCCGAGCTCTGGGCACGCAGTGAGGGCACGTGGGGCACCGTGCACCCCCTGAGCTCTGGGCACGCAGCGAGGGCACCTGGGGCACCATGCCCCCCCAGCTCTGGGAATGCAGTGAGGGCACCTGGGGCACCATGCACCCCATAGAGCTCTGGGCACGCAGTGAGGACTCCAGAGGCCTGGGGCCCTGCACCCCCAAGCTCTGGGCATGCAGCGAGGGCACCAGGGGCACCAGGCCCTGCACCCCCAAGTTCTGGGCACGCAGCAGGGGAGGCCTCGGTTACATTGGTGTCTCCATTGTTCTAAGCCGAAGGGGGGCACAGAGCTGAAGTGAATCAGTGGCAGGGTGGGAACCCAGGCGTCCTGACTCCCAGCCCCGCCTCCCTGCTCTGACCACTAGACCCCGCTCTCCTCCCAGAGCACAGCTCAGCAGCTCACCGAACTGGGGCTGGGGGCTGCAGTTCTGAAGCAACACCTCCCTCAGCCAGAGGCCAATTCTGCCGGGAGGGAGGACGCACCGGGCCCCCCCATCACCCCATCCCAGAGTCGGACACAAGCGGGTAACCCGTCTCCGAAGACCCCTGCAGAGCGAACAAAGCTGCTAGACCAAACCCATTCACTGGCTCATTCTGCCAGGAACCGGCTGAGGGGGACCCCCGGCGTCCCCCCCATCCCATGGCCGGGGCGGGATGGCTCCCCCAGAGAACACAGCAAGTGAAGCATCATGGGACACCTGAGGGGAACCCAGGAGTCTGAGTCAAATTCAACACAGCCCCAGAGGAGGGAGGGACAGGTAGATTTTAAGGCCAGAAAGCCCTGCTGTCAATCTAATCTGAGCCCCTGGACACCCTGGGCCATAGATGGTCCCGAAGTGATTCCTGCTTGAGCTAGAAAAAGGTCCCGTCTCGGAGTAACCATTTCCAGTGGGGCTTGGGGGAGTCATGCCAGCGGTTAATTCCCTCCCGCTGAGAAACCTGCTCCTCCTGTCTGGTCTGCGTCAACTGCCAGCCACGGGATCTTCTCACACCCTGAGTGAAGAGCCCCCTGTTACCAAACTGGAACTGAGGGAGAGACAGAGAGAGGGGGGTGTGAATGGGGGTGGACAGAGATAAAAAGAGGGGTGTGAATGGAGAGAGAGAGGCAGGTGTGAACAGAGACAGACAGAGCAAGAGGGGTGTGAATGGAGGACAGGGCTGGAAAGGGTGTGATTTGAGCCTACAGGGAGTGTGAATGGAGCTAGAGACGCAAGTGTGAACAGGCACAGACAGAGCTAGAGTGAGGGGTGTGAATGGGGGAGAGGTGTGAACTCAGGAGGGGCTGGGGGTGTGTGACTGGGGCCTGGACAGGGTGTGAATGGGGCAGCTATAGAGGGGTGTGAATTGGGATCAACAGAGAGTGGTGTGATTGGGGATAGAAAGACATAGGGCTGTGACTAGGGAGAGACAGGTAGATCCTGTCTTCTGCTACTGACCAGGAGACCTTGCGGGGAAGGTGTAGGGTCACTTTATCTCAGAGGCGCTCAGGGGCCCCTGCCCTACCCGGACGGCTGCCCCCCCACAGGGGCAGAGGCCCCCAGCCATACACGCTGGCGCTGCTGCCCCAACTCAGCGTCGGCGCATCTGCCAGCGGGCAACTTCCTCCGCACCCCAACATCGAGTGCAACAGGCCCAGGCCCAGCCCCGGAAGAACCAGGCCGGCGGGGGCTGGGCGTCACGCACTCTCCCAGGAGATGTGGGAGCCCCCGCCATTCACAACGGCGTTTTAACAGCTGCCAAGACGCTCGGGCCCAAGGCAGCATCCGCCCTCGTCCCCCATGGCGCAGCACGGGGCACCAGCAGCCAGATCCCGTGCCCGCTCTGCCGCGGAACCATGTGGGTTACAGAGGCCGGGGCTTTGCCTTAGGGGGGGCGGGTACCTGCTTAATCCAGAGGCACAGGGGGTGGAGGGAGCGCACCGGGGGTCCAGTAGCCCGAGGGGATAGGGCCAGGCTCCTGGGGCCTAGGAGAGGCCGCACTTCAGCCTGGCCTTGCTGTGGGGAAATCCCTTCCCCTGGGTGCTGGGGGCTGGCGCCCTGTGGGCAGGGGCCAGAGGGGGGCAACTGAAGACAATCCACGTCCCGGAGATCCTGGCCTGCTAGACTAAAGGGCCCCCAGGCCCCTTGGAAGCGAGCAGGGTAGAAGAGAGGCGCTGGTGTCCCCAACCCCCTTCTGCCGCCTGCAGAGAGAAGGGCCCCACATTTCACACACCTCACAGGCAGGTCAGCCCAGCTCCTGGCCCAGCAGCCCTCGCGGGCCAGGTGGAGAAGGGGAAAACACAAAGCCTGCTCCCTGGTCTGTGAAAAGAGGGGTGGAGGGACACAGGCCTGATCCCCCCAGGTTAGGGCCCATGGGGTAGGCACTGCCAGCTCCCCCCACACCCCGACACATCCAGCGCCCCACAGCAAGTCGGCGTTAAATGAGCCCAGCCTCCCCATGTTGCTCAGCAGGGTATTTTGCCAGCTCTGAGCCCGCGAGACGCTGGGAAGGGAGTGCCGGAGCTGCGTGGGCAATGCCCAGACATCGCTGAGGGGGCACATGCAGGCACTGGGGAGCTGGGGGGGGTATGGCAGTCCTGGAGGGGGGAAATACATGAGTCTGGGGAACAGGGGTCCTGTGTGTGTGCGCACACGTGCATGCATTGGGGTTCCGTGTGCACTGGGTTCCGTGTGCGCATGCATTGGGGTCCTGTGTGCATTGGGGTTCCGTGTGCGCTGGGTTCCCTGTGCGCTGGGTTCCGTGTGCGCATGCATTGGGGTCCTGTGTGCATTGGGGTTCCGTGTGCGCTGGGTTCCCTGTGCGCTGGGTTCCCTGTGCGCTGGGTTCCGTGTGCGCATGCATTGGGGTCCTGTGTGCATTGGGGTCCTGTGTGCGCTGGGTTCCGTGTGTGCATGCATTGGGGTCCTGTGTGCATTGGGGTTCCGTGTGCGCTGGGTTCCCTGTGCGCTGGGTTCCGTGTGCGCATGCATTGGGGTCCTGTGTGCATTGGGGTCCTGTGTGCGCTGGGTTCCGTGTGCGCATGCATTGGGGTCCTGTGTGCATTGGGGTTCCGTGTGCGCTGGGTTCCGTGTGCCCGCTGGGTTCCGTGTGCACTGGGTTCCGTGCGCGCTGGGTTCCGTGTGCCCGCTGGGTTCCGTGTGCCCGCTGGGTTCCGTGTGCCCGCTGGGGTTCTGCGCGAGAGCGTCTGTTTGTGTGTCGCTGCTCTGTGAGTGCACGTGCGTGTTGAGCGTTAGTGTGCACACACACACGTGTGTAGGGCGGTTGTATTTGCGGATCTACAAGCCTGACCCTTCCCTGTTTCATTCCATTTTGCGGGTTTGTTCTTTTTTAAACCCACCCAAAGCCGTGTGCAGGGGGCGGCTGGCAGCCTGCCCTCTCCGTGCCAAGCCTGGAGATGCCCTGAGCGGTGTGTCAGCAAGCTTGCAGTCCTACCAAGCCCGAGCACACAGACGCTGTCCTGGCACACGCACACAAACCAGGGAAGAAACAGCCTCCCAGCAAGATCAGATCGGGGAGGGTGGCAGAGGATATAAAATACAAACCACTCGGGAGACAGGAGCTTGCAAGGAAACAAATTTGCTAAGAACCAGCAGGGCTAAAGACCAGATCCTCCACAGGTCTGCCTGTGTCCCTTTCTGCTCTCTAAAGACGAGACAGTGAGAGAGAGCTGGGGAAGTTTGGATGCTGAGACACAAGGAAAGAAGACAAGAAAGAGGAGGAAAAGACAGAGAGAGACAAGAGGAAAGAGAGAAAAGATCAGAGAAAGAAAGACAGAGAAAAACAGAAGAGAAAGAAAAATAGAAAGAGGGAAAGTCACAGAAGGAAAGTCAGAGGGAAACAGGAGAGAAAGCCAATAAAAGACACAAGGGGAAAGTTAAGAGACAGAGGAGGAGGAAATTCTGGTCGACCTCTTCATTACAAGTTAGTTGAGCAAAATGTAAACACAGAATCACACTCCACCAACCAGTTTGGATTTCAAAGTCTGCAGCAAATTGGGCGTATCTGGGCAAAGGCTAAAAATTAACCAGGCATTTCTGTTTCAATTGGAAAGAAAACAAAACAAAACAAAAAATACGCAAAGGGAGGAACTGAAAAACAAACCAACCCACCCCCCAAGAAACACCCACTTTCAAAAAAATAAAATATAAGAAAAAGGAGACAGAGGGGAAAATCTGAAAGACATCAAAGCGTCTGGGGTAGGAACAAATGACAAGAGGGGTTGAAAAGAACCGAGTGACTAACCCTCCGAGAGAGAGAGAACGGCTTCCTGCCTGGGACAGTGCCCACTGAAATTGCAGGATTATTTCCACCGCCACACAGTGTAAAAGTGCCCAGCGCTGCCGAGTTGTATGTTCTGCGGTTTACATGCCATCGGCACAAACCCCCAAAACCTCGCCGACAAAAGAAACCGACAAAATCCAGACGGGGTCTCGGTGACCATCAAAGCGAAAGGGAAAGGAAAAATCCCCTCGGAATGAAATCAAGTCGCTTTCCCTCCCACATCTTAAGTCTTTTCTCTTTCCATTTTTTTTTTTAAAGTTGCCGTTCGCACAGTAGTGGGCATTTCACAGGCACGTGTGCACAAGCACATCCCCCGTGCAAAACGGGGCTTTTCACCAGGGATCGTGGGCATGAAGATGAGGGCAAGCTACGAACCACCCCAGATTGCTCAGTCTGTTGAGGGTGCCGATGCTGAGGGTACATTTGCACGATAAACAACAGAGACCAATTTGTTAATTACGGAGACAAAGGTTCAAGGAGGGAATTAAAAAAAAAAAGGAGAAAGAAACAGCTCGATCCCTTGGACAATTCAATCTCAAAACAAGCAGCAGTGATGGGGGATGGTTGTTAGAGGGGTGGGGGGGGGGTTGTAGGACTTACCAGGAGTGTGAACAAAATACGCCAAGTAAAGATCCAGTTCTTTAATTGTGACTCCAATGTGGTGCGGCTGGACGCAGAGGCCTGGGTTGGAGCACTGTGGTGATTTGTACAACCGCTCCCCGTCAGTACTTTCGAGCGGGATCCCTTTGAATAAGATGACCATTACAAGATCCAGTCTCCAAACCTTGTCGGCCTGCCTCAGACAGTCAATCCTGCGGATTTTGCCCTTCTGGTCCGGGTTGGAGAGGACGCAGCACGGGGCTTTCTTACCGGTGATGGTCAGGACGAAATCCTCCCGGAACTCGGGGCGGATGTCTTTGCGGAGTTTGGCCAGTAGCCTCGATGCCCATTTCTGCTTGATCTCTGGTTTTTCCCCCAACAGCTCATCCTTCACGGCGCGCTCCTCATCCTTGGACATCCGCTTCTCGTGCTTCTTGAAGTACTTTCGCTTCCGAGCTTGCAGGTTGAACCATGTGTAGGAGAAGGCACGCACATGAGGGAGGAGAGCTTCGATGAAAGGGTGGAATTCATCCTGGAGGGGGTGGTGGAAGAGGGTGAAAAGAGGGAACGAGACAAAAGGGGGGGAACGTTAGAACGAGAAAACGGAGGAATGCTATTTTTAAAAAAACCCACAACCTTCCCGACCAGTCGCGCCAGCTGACGCGACTCACTCGATCCCGAGAACAGAGACGGCGCGGAGAACCGAGTTCAGAGCACGGCCGAGCCAGCCACACAACACAAGACCAGCCCGGAAGACAATCCACCTCAGTTGGGACAGCGGTGGGTGTTGATTTTTTAAATCTTTTCCATCTTCTGCCTTCCCCTCCCCCAGCTGCAAAATAAATTTCAAAAAGGCCAAAGAAAATTCACCATCAGAACTAGAAACTCGAGATTTTGCTACTTTTTCACTAATAACCACAATAAAGTTTGCCTTGGCAAGCCCGGGGTTAAAGACAAAATTGGCCCCTGGCCCCATCCTTGTCCCCCCCCACACCCCCCATACCTCGATTCTCGGGTTAACTTCTTTGCCGGCAGGTGTGTATGTGGGGTTATTTGGAAGATCTGCTCTTCCTAAATCTGCCTCCCCCTCAAACAAAATCTGACAAAAAGGAAAATAATTACCATTGCTCCGTCTCATTCCGGCAAAGCTAAGCACCCGATTCGGAAATTCTGGACTCAACAGAGTTGCGGGGTGAGGGGGGGAGGGAAAAGGAGGTGGGGGCTGTGAGATGGAGGGGGAGGAGGGGACAAGGAGGAGGGAAGGTAGAAATTTTACAGGGAGGAGGCAGGGAGGGGAGAATGGGGGGCCGAGGGGCTTGGTTGGTTGAATTCTCGATTGCGGAGGGAATATAGAATTTAAAAACCTGGGGGGCAGGAGGGATAGAAAGGAAGGAAGGAAGGAAGGAAGGAGGCTGACAATGGAGGTGTGGGACACAGTGGGGGATGGATCTAGCACCCCAATAATCTATCGGAGGAACCCCCCCGCACGGCAGATCCAAAATAAATAAATCAGAAATTCGCAGAATGGCCCCTATCGGAAAAAAAAATTAAACAAACCAACAGAGGAAGGAAGGAAGAAAAAACGCAGGGAGAGGGAGAGGAGCGGCAGGCGGGGGGGGGAGGGCTTTTCGGCGCTGGTAAAGGCGCAAAGATGCCAAGTTAGCTGTTGGTCCCTCCGCCCGGGTGGAGGGCGAATGCAGGCCTAGGAGAAGGGACGGACGCTGTGCTGGAATCGACTGCGCTCAGCCGCTGGCAAAACCCGAAGTGCTCAGGCTTTTGGGCTGGGTTTTGTTTTGGTTTTGGGGGGTTTTGTTGTTGTTTTCCTCCCTTCCCCCCCCCTTTTCCCTTTTTCCTCCTAAACTCTCTCGCTCGCTCCTTTCACGCTCGGTCCCCAACCATTTGCCTGTGCCAATGCCAGCAGAAGAGGGGGGAAAAAACAGAAAGAGCGAAAGAGAGAGGAAGGATCCACGTATTTGGCAAGGAGACACATTTCCAGACCAGCCAATGGCTGCATCAAAGCGAAAGGGAGGCGGGGGGTGGGGAGGATTGGCGGAGCAGAAACTGGGGGGGGTGTATTGGGGGGGGGGCTGGTGGCACAGAGAGACTGTGCAGTTAAGAGACTGAAAACAATTTGCCAAATCGACAAGTTTATATCTAATGAATAAGCAAAGTCCAGCCGCGATTCTTTTTTTTTTTTTTCCCGGGCGGTGGATATTTGGCGTGCAGGAGCCTGGCAGAATATTGCTAAATAAATAAAAAACTCCGTTCTTCACCGCCCCCCCACCCCCACCCCGACAACCAAAAAAAAAAGGCAGTCCCACAAGGCCTTGGAAAAAGCAGCTGTTCTCTCTTTCCGTGTCTCTCGTTCCCGCATTCTCTCTCTCCGTCTATTTATAAAAAAGGACAGAAGAAGATTTCGTTCCAAATCTGCCCCCCCCACACACCACACACACAAGGTTCGGATTAAAGGCACGGATACTTTTTTCTAAGCAGCGGAATCGTCAATTTCAAACCCGCCCATCCCCAACCCCACATAAAAACACCATCACACTAAAGGGTTTTTGCATCCTAATGGAGGGCCCAATCCGACAGCCGCCGAGGGTTTCCTGCAGGCACCCGATCGGGCCCTCTCCCCTGCCAAGCTGGACGATTACTTTTTCCAAACAAAAACAATTTAGTTGCCAACTGACTTAACTCCTTACCCCCGACCCCAGCGTGTAAAGACACTGCAACGGGTGGCAAAGGGACTTGCCAATATTAGCACACAGCCCAGATCCCTAAAGGGCCCTATTTACTTTTTAAGAAAATCCGAGGAAGCAAAAAACCCCAAATCTTATTTTTGGGGGGGGACGGGAGGGGGTGCAAATGTATGATATTTTTAAAGTCCCCTCCAATGCCGAGCTAGTCTCTTCGAAAGACGATCCCTCCCGATGTTGCCTCTTTTCGAGGCAGGACTATTTATTGTCCGTGCTGCACGCTCAGCTGCATCGAATGGAAAAGCCGCCTATGAAAGCAGGAGAAGGTGAGGGGAGAAGGGGGACCGGGGAAGATGAGGAAAAAGGGATGAGAGAGGAGGAATGGGAGAAAAGAAGGGGGAGGGAAGGGAAGGAAAAGAAACGCAGCCAGAGGAGGGGGTTCAAAAGAGAAATGAAACAGGAAGATTGAGAAAGTGGAGGAGAGAAGACGACACCCGAGGGGGGGGAGAGGAGAGAAAATTAAAAGAAACAAACCGGGGGGGGGGGGGGAGAAAAAAATTGCCCTGATTTTCGGGCCTTTCTGGCTGCGCCCCCAGGCAGCACCCGGCTGTAAATCCAGGCGTTGGAGGGGGCGCAGAGCAGAGGTGACAACAGCCGAAACGGCAGCTCTTTTATCCAAAGTGGGGGGGTCGATGCCAGCCCCCCCGACGGCCTCCCCAATCTATCCATCCAGGCACTTACACGGCCGCCGTCGCCGTAGTACCGCAGCATCCCCAGCCCGCAGAGAGACCTCCGCCCGCTGGCCTGGCAGAGCTCCGGTGACAGGTAGAGCAGGCACGCCGGCTAACCCGCCGCGGCTCTATCCCCGACGCCCGCAGGCAGGCCCAGGCCCCGCTGCCAGCTTTCCAGCTCCCGAGCAGGCTGCCAAGGAAGCGAGAGCGGGGATTGTGGGGGAGGGCCGAGGTGGGGGGCGACGGCTGTCATTTCCCCGTCTCCCCCCCGCCCCCAATCCCAAACCTAGCCGCAGCCCAGTAGAGCAGGGTACGGCAATCCCTAGGCTCCAATCCTCCCCTTGCACACAACGCACAAGAAAGCTACGGCTCCTAAATACCCTGCTTGCTCGGGGAGAAATTCAGGCCTCCCTGCACTTACACCTGTGGCCAGGCCCTGACCTGGGCGGCATGCCCTGTGGGGAGCCAGACAAAGGTGGCTTGTCCCCTTCCCGCCCTCCTGCTTTGTCGGGGGAGCCAAAGGGGGTGTTACAAAATACCTGTGCCTGCCCGCTCTCCTCCATCGGAGAGGAGGAGGATGCGGACTGGTGCCATGGAGGCAGGAAAGCTGAGTCCAGAGGGGAAGGGGGGAGAGTGTGGAAGTTGCAAAGAAAAGGGAGAGCGAAGAAAGAGAGAAAAAAGAGAGGAAAAAAAAGTGAAAGCGAAAGAGGAAGAAGAAGAAGAAAAAAAGAACGAACGATTTTCTGCAAGAAGAAACTATTCCAAGTTCAAGTCACCAGGGTTTAGACCCTAATCCAGAGCTTTCACTTACGGCAGGGGATTTACTGGTTCCTAGCTACTCAGAGCGGGGATCCTTCCCCGGATCGGGGATGGTTTCCATAAGGAAAATACAACAACAGTTTAAATCTAAAACACACACACACACATACACACAGAGTCAACGTGTAATTAACGCCCAGTCTGAGTGTAAAAGCACCCAGCAAACGAGAGAAAGGAGCTGCTGGCAGCCGTCGGGCTTTGTGGGGGAATATCAAATGGAAATTAAACAGCCAGGGGGGAGGAAAAGAGAAAGCAGAGGCCGAAGAAGGAAAATGGAAATAGAAAGTCAGAAGGGGGGGGGGGGAACAGAGAGAAGGAGAAAACCAAGGGATGAAAGAGAAAATGGAACAGAAATCAATGGAGAGAAGACGAGAAAGTGGCAAGGGAGGGGGAGAAAAGGAACAGGAAAAACAGAGCAAAGCTGGAGAGAGAGAACGAGAAAAGAAGACTCTTTTTCTAAGGGTGCTTGCTCGCCTCCAATGACCCGCCCGCTCTACTGGGCTCGTGTCAGTTTGACTCCTGCTCTGAGCACCCCTCGGGAATGGGCCCGGGCAGGCATCGGTTGGCATCTGTGGGGCTGGCCTGGGGCCACCCTTGTGAGTTTAAAAAAGAAAAAAAAAAACGGGACTCGGGTACATGACAGCCCCAGTCCGCCGTGCCCCAGGAAGAGGCCTGCTCAGCGCAAAGCCCGCGGCCGTTCCACAGGCAAACGCCCCTCCGCCGCTGGGTTGTCGGGTGCTTTCTCCTCCACGGCGACGACTGCTGTATCTCAGCCAGTCCTGTCGGGCCCTGCAGTGCTCCGTCGTCTAACAGGGGTGGGTTGCCCTTAGTAAAATACCCCCGTGGATGGCAGTAACAACATGAAACACGGCAGCATCACTAGGGCACAGCACCGTTACTGGAGTCTCTAAAGGGAGGGTGGCAGAGGAAAGAGGGCAGAGATACTGGACTGGATGCCAACCCCCTGCGGGTCCTCGATCTAAGCACAACCTCCACCCCCTTCTATGGCACAACTCCCCACACATCTCTGACAACACACGGACTGCGGGTCTACGGCTGAGCCGGGCCTCTGCCGTGCACAGCTGCGCCCGAGGGGAGGCTATATTTCCATTGGGTGTGTACGAGGTACCCCCCCCCGGGTTTGAGAGGGGTCAATACACCAACGCCAGGCAGCGTTCTCGAGCGGTTGGTGTGGCGGGCCGAGGGTTCGGTCTTTCTGGGTTCCGTGCCCTGGCACCCGCAGCTGGTAGCGACAGCCGCAAAGAAGGCGGATTATTAGAAATGCCTCTCTCGGAGAAAGAAAGAAGTAGAACAGAAGAGGCTAGAAAAGACGGGCGGCTTGGCAGAGGGATTTGGGGGGGAAGAGAAGGCCTGGGAAGGAGACAGAGAGGAAAGCAGGAACTTGCGGAGAGGGGAAGAAAGGATGAGGGGAAAAGGAAGGCCAAGATCCAGGTAGGGAAAATAGCCCAAATGCACAGCTAAAGCTGGCTGTGGGACTGTGCCCAACTGGCTGGACGTCCCACCCAGCGGGGGATGCGCCCTGGTCCCCCGACATGCAGAGACACTCGGGGCCGGGGGGGGTGGCATTTCTTTCTCTGTTGCCCCCAGCCAAGCTCATCCCAGGCGACCCACACCTGCAGGACTTGGAATCTTTTTACGAAAAAGGATTTTTTTCAATTCGCCCTCCCAAAAGAGGGGGTCGTTTTTAAACCCACCCCCACCGGCCGGGTTACAGCCAGCAAACTCCTGACGCCTGCTTCTTCCCAGCTGGGGGGTTGCGGGGGGGGTTCCCCAAGGCCTGGAAGATAGTTTATGAGTTTTAATAACTCCAAGTCAAACTTTCCGACTCCTGATCTTATCTCCTCCCCCCTTTCCCCCGCCCCCCCCGACACACACACTCTTTTCATTTTGGGTCTCTCTTTTTCAGCAGCAGCATGTCAAGCTTTCTCGGCGTTGCCATAGAAACAGTCACTGGCACCCTGGCAAACTATTGCCCCGGTGAATGAATAGCACATAAATTTCGTCTCCCTGCAGGGCGAGCAAGACCTGGGCTGCCTTGGCCTGTGGCTTGCACTTGCAGTGATGGGGGGGCTTTTAAGAAACTGGGGCATGACTTTTTGGGGGGGGGTATTCCTGCTCAGTTCTGCAGCAGCAGGACATCTGCCCCTTACGTGCTGGGGAGGTAGTTTTGAGGGAGTCCGCCAATCTCTTCTACCACCTTTCGGGGGGCTCAGAGCTGGAATTATTTTGCCCCCCTTTCCCCGCCCTGCATACACCCAGAAGCTGTGGACTCCCCCAGCCACAATGCAGATTAAAAGCAAACAAATCTTTTTTCTCAACAGCCTGAGCCATTAGTGTAAAAAATGCCCTCCCAGAGCTGGGCTGGCATAGACTGTGAGGAGAGCTTTTCTCTTTCTTTCTTTCTTTCTTTCTTTCTTTCTTTCTTTCTTTCTTTCTTTCTTTCTTTCTTTCTTTCCTTCCTTCCTTCAGTGTCTCTCCCCGTTTGCTTCACGCTCGGCTTCCCCAACAGACCCAATGCTGCTCAAAGCCAGAGTCCAGTTCCAACCCTTCCGAATGAGGCGTCACGAGTTTGCCTGTCCTTACGATACGGACGTCCCATACAAATATATCTCTAGGAAACCC